ATTTTTCTTCTAGTTTCATTTCACTAGCCTATTAGGGTTTTATAGATCGATAATTGTATTAGATGTTATGTTGCTTTTCCCATTGACTTACGCCGTACATAAAGGCTTTATTTTATTTTTATATACAATAAAAATAGTACGTATGGATTCAATAAATCCAGTACATCTAAATTGTCACTTCCATTAAATATGTGTCTAATAAATCCGCATAGAGGAGGTTAACCCTGTAAAAAGTTATAATTTAAATGCTGTTTAATACTATGTTTACATTGTACGGGATTTATTAAATCCAGTAGATTTAAATTGTCAATTCCATTAAATATATGTCATATAAATCATAGATGAGGATAACCCCATAAAAAGTTATAATTTCAATGCCCTTTAATAGTACGTTTACATTGTACGGGATTTATTAAATCCAGTAGATCTAAATTGTGAAAACGCTATAATGTAAATTAATTTTTCCTTGTTATATTGTCACCTCAAAAAAGTCATGTAGCTGAGGTAGAAAATGTGAAAATTTCTACATGAATTTAATAAAAAAAAATCATTTAATCTAATATTAATTTTACACACACACACGTTTATTACGCAATATTCTATGTAATATATGGTTGGACAATAACAAGGATGCTTTTTAAAATATAGAAAAATTAGGTGGTGGGGGAAAAACAAACAATTATACATACCCGAATTTTTACATAGAAAAATGCATACTCCTCGGAATTTCTTAAATTTTTATTATTATGATTATGTGTGGTATATACACACATACATATATAGAATGCTGCGGGGCAGCATATACATACGGCAGCCACACACAGTGGATTGGTCAAGCCTGGAATGATATTAAAAGCTACACATACACACACACATGGAAGAACTTATATAGAAATAATATCTATAGAAAAGTTAACATATGTTTTTATTTAATTCATTAAAGAGGGGAGAGAGAGGTTGTCATTAGAGGGTTGCAAAAATTACAACAGCACATCATCAGTGTATTTTTATTAAAACATCTCGTCGTTTGATGCAATATTCTCCATTGCAGCTTAAGGGTCAGGTGCAGTAATGATTTTTCTTTAGCTTAACTATATACATACACATGCATACATATATCCCTTTCTATATATTCAATTACAAAAAGGCGACAAACAGACATTGATAAAAATTCATATAGAGGTTTGTTGTTTGTGTATATCATCATGGTTTGCAATAATCTGATGGGTTGCATGGCAAGCAGCAGCAGAAAATTTCCTTACACAACTTTTGAAAATAGTTTCTATATCACATTCTTGGCTATATTGAAATTATGTATTTTTATACAACTTTTAAGGAATGTTGGTTATAGAGAATTTTTTTTTTTTTTTTTACTACAGAAAAGTTTATCGTCATAATGTCCGTTGGTCGTAATTTGTCCGCCGCATACTACTTATTAGTCATCATTCACTCCATTCATATGTGTATTGCAAATCATTTTCGATTATGGGAAAAACATTTCGAAACTAGTTTTTTCCAGTGATGATAACACTGGAGAAATTCTTGTCATGTGTTGGGTTGTGTGTGGGATTCCCGTATAAGAAATTTTAAATTTATAATTTATTTTTTCAAAAATATATTTTTATTTTTTATTTGATATATTATAATACTTCAGATTTTATCAATTTGTTTTCATATTATTCTTCTTATCTTTTTTGTAGTTTTCGGCATGTAGTTATAATTCTAATTAAATTGTATGCAATGAAATTGACAATATAAATCCACTGGATTTAACAAATCCATTACAATGTTAAACGGCATTTAAATTTTAACTTTTTACAGGGTTAACCTCCTCTATGTGGATTTATTTGAAATATATATTAAATGGAATTGACAAATTTAGATATTTCTGCTTACCATTTTTACTCGGACAAATTTTTTCGATTAAAACGTTTACAGAGTGAACGCCATTTTGTTTTGTGTTATCTTCAATTTGGTTCAATGTTTCACTAGTTTTTTTGGGTTCAGGAACGGTTTTCAAGTAAAAGGTTGCAAAACTTGTACAATTAGTAGATACTATTATTGATTAATTGTAACATTCGAGAGAAGGCAAATATCGACCTACAATACCCTTCGTATATATTCCATAAAAGTGTCCCAGAATATTATAATTATATTTATTACTAGAATTTTATAAAATATATATATTTATTCTAACGTTTCCAGGGCATACCTGTCAAATCATGTTTCGTGCTAAGCTGATCTTAAATTGTCTGTCATTTCATATATTTAGGTTATTATAGTTCTATTATCGTTATTAGGGTATTATAGTTTGATTATTTTCGCTTATTATATGTTGGCATTATCTTCTCTTTTACCTGTTAAAACACAAAAGACATACAGAGAAAAAACCTTTCCTCGGACCTTTTTTACATTGCTGCTGAAGATTAATTAAAAAAAACACTTTTCCAGGAACAAATCAGTGCAACAGATGCACACATACCCACATACCCACTTGTATTATCCCTTAGAAAAAGGATGAAGAATCTTCTTCTTATGAATATATATTTTTTGGTACATATAAATACAATACGGAAATTAATATTACTACATACATACAGATGATATTTTAAGAAACAAAATATTTGTATATCGTTCGGGGTTTGTATATATTCAATGACCTCCTCTCATCCTCTAATCAACAACACATGTGTAACGTGTACGCGCATGCATACAATACAAGACAATACAAAACATTAAGCACCTGGCAAAAATTAAAAATTTCAGTTTTTGTTGAATATCAAATTTAGGGAAAGAATCCTTTCGACTTTCACATCTTTACAAAAAAAGAAACAAAGAAAAAAAAATTGAGCTCAAGATGTGTTATGGATGGGAAAAAGTTATCAAGTACTGCGATTTCTCACCCTATTTTTCGTTTAACAAAAATACGCATAAGAGAGAGGGAGAGAGGGAGAGAGAGAGAGCACTCGAGAAAATAAACAGAAGAACGCCAGACAAACAGATGCATGGACAGACAAAACTCACAGAGAGACAACCAACCATACACACAATCTTCTCTTGGTACACATCATTGATTTTTTCCGTATTTTTTTGTTTGTTTTATTTTAGGTAAGCAAGCAATACGAACACGAAGACGACGACCAAGGGAACAAAAGTCAGCGAGCCAGTCAGCCAGCAACCACGAAGATATATATTCAGCCAGAGCAGCAGAACAGGGAAATATCATCATACTATAAATAAACTGCAGCAAAGGTTCAGCAACTGAAGTTGAAACACACAAAAACAACAACAACAAGAAATACAAACAACTGACAACGAAGACTAGTATCATCGTCATCATATCATATATATACATATATATACAAGTAAGAGCAAGAGAGTGCATACCAAAACAACAAACACATATGGAGATCATCATAATCTCTCTTTGTTGTCTCTTGTTCATTTGAATTGAATTTGGGTTGCTGCCGCCGTTTGGCATGTCAGCTGATTTACTTGATGTGTGAGAACAACGGCGACAAAGAAAAAAATAAACAAACAAAACAACAGAGCTGTCATACTCTCACATGAGCACAGCCAGCAAGACAACCAGCCAGTATTGCAGTGATTTTTGTGGTTTCTTAAAAAGAGAGAAAACACAATCAAATCCATTGATTGATAACGGCAAAGGGAGAAGAAAAAGAACAACAACATTTGCAGCAGCAGAAAATCAAGTTAATCGTCGTTGTGAAAGTGCGTGCAAATAAACACGCGCACCAACCACCACAGCCAGCGCTTATTTTGCTTTCCAACTAAGTCAGCCAACTAGCCAGCCAGGCAGGCCATTCCATCAGACCTAACAAGCGACGAATCAAACCAAACAGGCAAGCAACCAAAAAGCCAACCAACCGACCGACCGAACCCAGTCAACCAGTTTGTCAGCACAATGAACATACGCATGTTGTGAGATTTTGCTGTCGTTGCTATTTCATCGTTCGTTCGTTCATTCGTCGTGTGTATTTCATTTATTTTATTTTTTCCAAACGCTTCTTCTTCTAAAGTTGTCTTTTCTTTTTCACATTAGTGTTCACACTGCTCCCCGCTTGCATACGTAAAGCAAACATTCCGAGAGAAGTAAACGAAAAACTTGCGAAATACAACTCAGCTAAAACGACGACGACAACACAAAACAGAAACTGAAACAAAAAAAGCAACAACAACAATTATACACTGCTTTGGGTGCTGCACCACACCACATTGTCGTCGTAACGTAACAACAACAAAAACACACGAAATTTTTATATTGAATATTGAGTGAATTGCCCTGAACACCAGCGACCAGCCAGTCATTCAGCTAACCAGCCAGCCGCACGGCAACCAATCCTCCGCCTCGGCAAATCCAAAAACAAAATTTTTTTTTGTCGCAACAGCAGACGACGACAACACAGCAATTGCCAAATTCGAAATCAATCCGTAAAAAAAATACAACAACCAGCACCACTGGGTGGTTGGAGACGGAGGAGACGACAAGGAAAAAGGCATTGGATAGCAAAAAGCCACAGAATTTTCGTAACAACAACAAGAGAAACTTTAATGTTCCTTTCTACATAACGAGCCCAGCATTCTGTTGAAACCATATCTGGAGAAATTTTATTTATTTTCAAGTCCTCCACAAACTATTCCAGCAACAAACATTTAAGCAAACGAACAGAAAATACCAACGAGATATTCCAAGAAACAAAAACTGCCCAGCACCGCACAGCTGGGCATTTGGGAAAGAACCGTGTGTGTGTGCCAAAACAACCACAACAAAAACAAGAAGAAGAATTATTAAAATCCAACAACAACAATAGATTTTGTATTTGCCTCCAAACAAAGCTGCCGTGTGGTGTTCTCGTTTTCGTTCTTTGTATATATGGAAACAATACAAAATCATCTTATCTAAAAACAACGCCTATTTTCAAAATAGCAATTTCAATTTGCTTTAGTTAAAATTTAAAAAAAGCCAACTAACTATACCTCGCCAGCAGCAGCACCCAACAGCCATTCAATACAAAACTCCAAATGAAAACATTACTGCTTAGCTCAGACGATATTCAAAACTTTCGGAAGCTAATATACGATCCCAAAGTGGCGAATCTGGGCAACTCCAATACAGAGGACGCCAATTTGATGGCTTTACAATATTATCTAAAACATCCTGGTAATTATACAAGTGCAGCAGCGGCAGCAGCAGCAACCACGGCGGCGGCAGCAGCTGCAGCAGCAGCCACAATAACATCTCAGGTCCACATACAGCAGCATCAACATCAGCGTACACAACATCCACAGACTCAGTCATTTCTGACAGCGGCAGCCACAACAACAACAGCGGCAAACAACAGTACGCATAACAACAACCACACTACCAGCAGTAGCAACAACAACACACAGCCCAATAATGTTGTCATTGTTAGCAACAGCAACAGTAATGGCCTAACTGCTAACGCCACCACCACATCCAGTCATCATGCCCATCATCACCTGTTAGCCCAATCACAAACCCAACTCAAGCAACTGCAACTGAAACAGCCCACAATACACCATCACCAGCACACAGCCAGTTTCCATCATCCCTACTACCAGCAACACAGTACGCCTGCGCCACCTGCTCACACGTCACACGCCCACAGCACCACACACAGTTACACTACGCATTCATTGCCCGTGCATGCTCTCAATCAGAATTCAAATTTTTCGGCAGCCAGCAGCAGTACCGGTGGAGGCACGGCATCTAGTCACGCTGCCACACATACCACAGGCTCCAGCCTATCGCCGCCCGGAACAAATGCCAGCGCCCGCACAACACCCTCAAGCGGTGGCTCAAATAGCAGCGGCTCGTCCACTTCCAGCGGCTCAAGTTCACGCGGTGGCTCCACCGTGAGCGGAGCAAAAAAACTAAAAGTTGAACCGGTACTCTCACAATTCCATCAAAACGAGCGGCTGAACTTTGCCAATTCGCACATCAACTGGACCGAGGATCATTGGCGGCGTGTTGTCTTTCAGGATGAGCGCAAATTTAATTTGGACGGTCCCGATGGTTTTTCCTACTACTTTCATGATTTGCGGAACTATGAGAAAACCCTGTCGCAAAGACCCCGCGGTAATTCGGTGTACATTTATTTGGTGTTGACAGCTGGGGGACCCATTCACCTGGAAGTTTCAACGGCTAAATTTAAAATTGAATCCTGCGTCGAAACCCTACTGAGAGAACGTGCCAATATTGTAGCCAAGCTGGGCGGCAATTCCGATTTCTATTTACAGGATCACAATTGGACAACAAATGCCCTGCCCTCGGTCCAAGAATGGCTAAATGCCGAGAGTATAAAGACACAGAAATGGCCAACGGTGGCCCACGATTTGAATATTATGGAGGGCATTTGGGGTTGGCTGATACGTGAGGTGTTCGATGGTGGGCGTAAATTTTCACGTAAAGACGATTTGATATTTCGTATACGTGAGGCGTGGTCCCGTGTGCCTATGGAATTAATCAATAATTTGTATACCACGCTATCGGAACGTATAACACAGCTTTACTATACCCGTGGAGCCTATACAAACTGTTGACAGACGCTGGTGATCAATGAGTTATATGTCTAAAAAACAAGAAGCCAATTTTTATTTTGCTCTGCGCGCTGGGTGGTTACTAAATCTCATAAAATTCCTCCTCCTCCTCTCATGTAAGGTAATTTTTCGTCTTTTTGTGATTTTTTTTTTCCTCCGAGGGAAATAAATGGCAAAAGATGAAACTCCCAACCACAAGAAATCCACATCAACCAACTCCTCTACTAAAGCAAAGCAAACAAACAACTAAGCACTGTAAATAGGAAACTATAAAAAAAACAAACAAAAAGAAATACAAATTAAATTTAAAACAAAAATCACAGATTAAAACAAAATATTTCTACGAAGAAGCAAAAAAAAAAAAGAATATCTGCTACATTTGTCCTCATTTTATAAAAAGAATAAGAAGAACAAGAATGGGCTGCTGCTCTTTAATTTAAGTCATCTTCCCCATGTATTCACAAACAGAGAAACCTCACAGACAGACAGGTGTCAAATATCAATGATCTCATCTTTGTTTTTGTGTGTGTGTGTGTGTGTGTATGACATCTTCATACTTCAGCTGTTCAGTTTGAAATAGCAGCCCACCCACACCGTACTCCTCTGTGTCATTGTGATGAGCGAGAGAGAGAGAGAGTATGTGTCATAAGCAGTGAACTGTGATTTCAGAGAAAACTACCTGTGACTGATAAAAGAGAGCGAATGTGAGAGCGCAAACACCTGTTATCAATTGCATGAAGAAGAAGACAAAACCATTGTTATCTGCTGTTTAATTTAATTAAGAAAAAAAAACGGAAAAAAATTATATAAAATTCTTAAGTAAATGGTTAATTTGAAAACATAATTTTAAAGAATTGAATTACTTTCTTAATTTTGATGTAATTTTTCTTGTTTCTTATTCTTTTTCTGGATGAGAACAACTCATAAAGATTTTTGTCATTGACAGATAATGAGAGAGAAAGAGAGTGAGGATTAGTTGTCTGTGAAAATATTTAAAAGCAGAGATACCTTATAAAATATCTACAACTTATTATTATTAATTAATTATTATACAAAAAAGAAGATAAAAAACAAATCATATTGAAACTGAATTCTTTATAATTTTATTTAGTGTGTAATAGTTTAATTCTTAGTGTATGTATTTTTTTATTATTTAATTATTATTAATACTTTTTTATTTAAAGCATTTTTTATTATTATTTAAAAAAAATATTTGTTTATTTTTTCAAATATTTGTTTTTATTGTTTTGGTTGCAAAAATAAGAAAGTATAAGAAAATATATATTAATATGGATTATTGACAAAACAATTTATGTGGGTGATAAGAATGTACCAACCACCTCCTCCTTAACCACCACCATCATGTAATGAAATGTCAGACATTTCATAATTTGCCATAATTTAACAAAAGGAAGAAGAAGTATACTAATAAAATACTAGAATTTTGAATGAGTATTGAACAATTGATATTGTTGGTCTCCCTTGTATTCCATAGCTTCCTCATAAAAAAACTACTACTACTAGAGTACTTATAGATAGGTGTTTTGAAATACAAAATATCACAAAAATCAAATTTTATTACATCCTAAATTGTTTTGCCAATAATAACAACCATTATTATTAATATTAAAAAAAGAAACAAACAAATACTAAAAAAACGAACAAAACTCTTCCTCTATATTTCTTATTAACAAAAAAAAAAACAAATGTAGAGAAGAAAAAAATCTTAAAAAAACAACAACTAATGAAGTAACAAAAGTATTAAACAAATGTAGAAAGAATAATAAAAAGAAAACAACAACAAGAAAAAAATAATAAAAACTTGAAGAACAAAGAATACAAATCAAATAAGAAGGATACTAATTAATTAAAAACAAAAAAAACAGAGTATATATGAACTGCTTGTCTTATGTTAAATTAAAAAAATATATGAAAAAAAAACTGTATTGTAATATGAAAAAAACACAAAACAAAATAGAAACAAGAACAAATAAACAAAATAATTATTTTTTCATTTCCAAAAAAAGAAAAATTCCCCCCGCCAAATGTGATGGAAAATAAAATTATTATTTTCGAAAAACAAACATTTTTTTAATAATAATTTTCATTTTCTCAACATACCTACAATGCATAATTATTAAAACCAAATGTGTTTTATATCCTTATAAAAAATGTAACAAAAAATAGCAAACATCAGGTCAAGCCTAGGGATAGACACATTTAAGGAATCCATTTACTTTTTTTTCCAAATAATAATGCAATGCAACCCATTAATTCATAAATACATGCCCCCAACACACATAATCATTTCCATTTGCCAAACCCCCGAACCCAAATAAAAAAACAGCCTCCCTCCCATTTCCCCCATCATTCTTAAATATATAAAAACAAATTAATATAAACATAAAAAAATAAATAAAAACCGAAGTATATATATACATACATAATACACATAATTTTTAAGTATATAGATAAACATTACAACAACATTTAGCTTATAAGTTTTGGTAAAATGTGATTTTGTTTGTTAAGAAATAATCTGATGATGAGAATTTGAACATTTTCAAACAAATAAAAATCAAATCAATAAAATAAAAATAATAAAAGAGAAGAAGAAAAAAACCTTGCGATGAATTAAAGCACCAAAATCAATCGAACAACAACTAACCAATTTAAAATAAAACAAAAATAATTTTGTGTGTTTTTATTTTTAAAAACTGGTGGGGGATAAAGGGAAATATTTTTTTTCAACAGGAAAAAAATTTGGAAAAAATCGACACCCCATTTTTTTAAAAAAAAAATTCGACATGCCCATTTTTTTCTATTGGAAAAAAATCGACATGTCCCTTGGCAATTTTTTTCTATTGGAAAAAAATTCGACAGGCCCCATGAGCCATTTTTTTTTTCTATTGGAAAAAATTCCATTGGCTCCAAGGCCCAAAATTCGACAGTCCGCTTCGGCCATTTTTTTCTATAGGAATAAATTCGACAGGCCGCTTCGGTCATTTTTTCTATAGGAAAAAAATTCGACAGGCCGTTTTGGCCATTTTTTTCTATAAAAAAATCGACAGGCCCCTTGGGCCATTTTTTTCTATAGAAAAAAAAATCTATAGAAAACTGTTAACAGACGCTGGTAATAAATAAGTTCTATGTCTAAAAAAAGAAGCTAATTTTTATTTTGCTCTGCTCTGTGTGGTTACTAAATCTCATAATATTCCTCCCCTCATGTAAGGTAATTTTTCGTCTACAGGCCCTTGGGCCATTTTTTTCTATAGGAAAAAATTTCGACAGGCCCCTTGGGCCATTTTAGAAAAAAAAATTCTATAGTTCCCCTGGGGCCATTTTTTTCTTTAGGAAAAAATCGACAGGATCCTTGGGCCATTTTTTCTATAGAAAAAAAATTCCATAGTTCCCCTGGGGCCATTTTTTTCTTTAGGAAAAAAAATCGACAGGATCCTTGGATCATTTTTTTTTCTATAAAAAAAAAAAAACGACAGGACCCCTTGGGTCATTTTTTTCCGTAGAAAAAAAATCGACAGGTCAATTCGCCCATTTTTTTCAATAGAAAAAATCCTTGTGGAGTCCTGAAAAAATATTTAAATAATCTAAGCCTTCTTGAGCCTTAAATATTCTTTAAATAATCCACTCCTAATGCAGACCGATATACAAATTAGTTAACAAATATTACATTTTTTTCGTAAATAAATTTAAATATTTATTTTGGTTTTGCCAAGGTATATCAAATGCCTCCAAACTTCAATAATATCCAATTCTATCTACTCACAATAATAATTTAGAAAAAGTTGGGAATAGATTAAATCTGTAGTCTAATCAGTAGGATTTTGTATGACAATCAGTATAAAGTCCTTGTCGGGGGCAACCATAATTTCGTGTTTCTTTGAGCGTACCCGTAAAAAGGTCATATCGTTTGAGGGATCCAAATCGCGAACCACACTGCGTGCCTTGTCGGCCAATTGGCTCATGAGACCAGCATATTGAACGGTGGTGGTATTGTCCAAAGTCGATTTGACGGGAATGCCTAGAAAAATTTCAGAAGAAGAAGTTTAATAAATTTGTTTCAAAAAGAAAATCTTAAATGTTCGGCCCCTCCAAATTGTGGTTACTATGGTATTAGTCATAATAATCTGACTTGGTGGCTAAAATAACACGGTTTTTGTTGTTAGCCATAATTATATGCAAAAAAAAACCGAGTATGACAACCCTCCCTACCTTCATTATTGACCACAATTGTTCCAACGACACCTTTGTGGGCCTGTATGCGTTTTAAAGTTTCTTCCACCTCTTGTGACTGTAAAAAATTGTTATTAATACATTTTTTATAATTTTCCTTGTTTTATATTATTTTCTTACCATTTTCCTTTTATTTTACTGACGTTGAAAAAAACCAAACAAACTGTTTTTGCGAGGAGTGTCAATTGTGGACAGCTGTCGTCATTGACAATCGATAACTGTTTAATAGTGTTGCTTAGCAACCGTTATCGTTTTGTGTGGGTATTCATTAACACCTACCTAATGCAAAAACGTTCCAGCTATTTGCGAAATCATTGGAAAATGTGGTCAGGCGTAATTTTTGTTAATATTTTTTTAATTCCAATTAATAATTGAATATTCCTATAATTATTAGTTAAATATTTTCCATAAAATATTTTCTTTATGCCTCCACAAGGCTTGGATTTTCTAAAGAATAGTTTTCTAAATATTAAAACTGTAAAAAAATATATAAAACTCAATCCTCGTATAAACAATGTTCGTATAAAAAAACAAACCTTTTTCAAAAAATATTGTTATACAAATCCAATTATTGTTTAAAAAGCTATATTTTTTATACATATGTTAATTATTTATATGTTATTATTTTATTGAAATATTATAATATATATATATATATATAATTTTTGTTTTATTTATAAAATATTTAATTATAAATACATTAAGAATTTTAAATTAATATTATTTTTAATAAATATATAATAATATATTTATTTATTATATATTTTAATATAAATTTGTTAAAGAATATATTTTATAGTACGTTTAAATTGTACCGGATCTAGTTAACCTAGTGGGTTTCAATTGTCAATTCCATTGCCTATTTGTCAAACCCCGCAAATTGTTGCAATGTAAATGCTGTTTTAGACTACTTTTGTTTATAAATTAGTTTTATTTTAAATAGTTTTTGTATAGAAAATTAATTATTTATATGTCAATATTTTTATATATATATTTATATATAGTATTTATTGAATATTTCCATTAATAATATATTTGTTTGTAAATCATAATTGTTATTGACATATTATATTTTTAATAATATTTTTATTAAAAAATGTATTAATATTTTAAGGTTATTTGCATTAAACGTCATTTACATTTAAGAGATTTTACCGGATTAACCCACTTTATAAGGATTTATTTAACATATATACAATGGAATTGACAATTTAAATCCAGTGGGTTAACGAAATCCGGTAAAATGTAAATATTAATAATAATATTTTATTTAAATAGTTTATTTATTTAAAATTATATTAATTAATATTTTATTTAAAGATTATTGTAATTTATTTTTCATTAAAAAAAGCAAACCTAACATAACCTCTATGCCAGCAGCTGTTTCTAATTGGGATAACTCGGTTTTTGCTGTTATCATTTCACAATGACTGCCACAATAAGAAGAAGCAGCAGCAGTGAGCTAATCATATCATTTATTTTATGAAGCGAGTAAAATATTCATAGAACATTTCAATAATATGTTATTTTATTGCATACTTCAATGAAAAAAATATTTAATTCATATATTTTATTTTAAAAATTATTTTAATTAATATTTTTTATTAAAAAACTATTTCATTAAAATCTAAACATAACTGCCATCCCATCAGCTGTTTCTAATTGGGATAACCCTGTTTTTTGCTGTTATCATTTTACCATGACTGCCACAATGTGTAAAGAAGAAGCAGCAGCAGTGAGGCTAATCATTTCTTTGTATTTTCTTTTTTCGCTTCTTGTGTTTTTGCCAATATTTTTGCCTCTCAGTATGAAAATTTAAGTGACAGACGCGAGAGCCGCACAGCCAAACGAGACGGACGACGCGAAAGTGATTCCATTCCTCTACTCCTGAAGAAAGAAATTCTAAAGCTTCCAAAAAAGGTTGATATTTGTTGTTTTTTTTCTTCTTCTGAAGACAACAACAATAATTATTTGTTGAAAATATATTGTGTTTTTTTTATATAAAGAAGAAAACAAAAAATGTTTGCATTCAACTGTACAAAAAAACAGCAACAAAATATATAAAAAACGTCAACGTTTTCGTGAAGAGAGCGAGGGAGAGAGAGGAGTAAAGTGAAATATTTTATTTAAATTGCAAAAAAGTTAAGAAAAAGTGAAAAGTTTTGTGTATTAAAAGAAAGAAAAAATATTGCTGGAAAGAAAAGTGTCTGCTGGGAATAAGAAGAAGAGAAGAAAAAAGAAGCAGAAAAACTCTAATAAGAGTTTGCTAGCGCCAATCTCAAAACAGCTCCAGGTATGCTCCATCATCATCATCATCATCATTTAGCTGATAACGTAGAAGAAAAATTGTTAACAAACCAGCCAATACATACACACATACTACATGGAGAAGGTTTTTTTCTTATTAGAAATACACACGCATGCATATGGCAAAAAGAAACATGATTTATTTTCAGTGTGTTTTTGATTGTGACCAATTTTTTGGGGATTTGAAAACAAATGTTATAGCAAGACTTCATTCATAAAAAGTGGTGATGACAACTCCCACTGTTTTTAACCAAAAACAACAACAATAAGCACCACCACCAACAACAATAATAATAATAACCCGTATTGCCTAAGAAATCAAGCCACGCTCTCTGCGTCGGCGGTGTTGAGTAGTGGTGTTGCGCAGCAAAAATTTCATCTGCTTGACTCCCAGGTTGAGTGCTGTTACCTCCTCCCTACGTACCTTTTGCTTGAACACAATAAAAACAATTGAGGAGCTACAATGATGACGACGAAGGAACCACAGAGACAGACAGGCAGCCAGCAGGCAACTGCATGCAAGTCAAGCCAAGCCAGTCTTGTTTGCAGTTTCCCTTTATGCATTTTTCATTTGATTCGTTGGCCCATGGATGATGGGTTGATTGGTTGGTTGGTTTCGCCGACTGGTTAACTGGCCTGCATGCCATGGTCTACATAGATTTTTCCCTTTTTTTTTTGCAAAATGGAATGTCCAAAAGGGAAAATTTATGGGATAAAAAACAGAATGAAATCATTAATCCATTGGATAAAAGAAAACACACGGACACACACACTCGCCTATACCAGGCGATGAAACGTAGATAGCAAAAAACAAAAGGTGCTGCTCCCGCAGCTGCTACTACTACGACGACTACTACCAGTAATGATGGTGTGGATGGTCGTAATGTTTTTGTTGTTGCTGCTGCTTTATGGCTGGCTAAACAAACATGCATAGGCATTTAATTTTATATTTCAAAGCTAAAGCAAAAAAGTGGTTAGCTAGTGGGTGGCGACGACAGGCAGTAAGCAGGCATGTGTGTTGAACCATTTTTTTTAATTGGTGGAGTAGGGGATGGTGGGTTAACGTTAAAGTGCTACCCTCTCCCTTTTTAGCTATGTGGAAAAATAAATAGATCTGTGACATATTTACACGCTGAGCATCTTATCTCTGCTCTGCTCCACTATCTCTGGAATGCTGATAATAATGATAATAACTTATTTTTGGGATACGCCATCTAACAACCAGCCAAGAAGAAGAATAAGAGACAACAAATTTGAAAGGTTCTTAAAATAATTTTACATTACATTCTATTTTTGTAATGTTGGAGCAAAAGAAGAACAAGAAACCATGCCAGTTTTCTTCTAACTTTTGGCCCAATTCGCTTCCATCTGGGGAGGAGGGAGTTTGGTAAGGGTTTTTGTGTGTTCAATAGAGGCAAAACAGATGACAAACTTTATCTTATTGATTATTTTTTATTTATTTTGAAATTGGTGTCACCATTCTGAATTGCCATTAAAAGAGAGAACATCAAGTCGGGAAACAGAAAAGTGAGCCATTAATGGGGCTCCACATAGCATATGGTAAATATAGATTTTTTTTAATTTGTAGATAATTTTAATTATTATTTTTTTCAATTTAAATTAGATCATAATGTTGAAATAAAATGGATCAAATAGAGATTTAATTTAACAAAGAGAGGAGTCCTATTTATATATGGCATATGGAATTTAGTGTTAACGCCCAAAAGTATGCAGCATTTATTTACATTTACAAAAACATATGGTAAATAGTCAAAAAAATGACAATATTTTTCGGACTTAATTGAGATTTTTTTATATTCAAATAGATTAAATCGAAATTTTAAGATATCGAGTCAATTTGGAATTTTTAGTGTTAACTCAAATTCTACAAAAGCTTCTAATGAAAAACATGTAGAAATCAAAGTATTTATGACATTGGGAATTTAGTGCGGATGCCTAAAAGTATGCAGCATTTTATAATTTATGAAAACTGGACTCGGTATTTTCAAAATTGCAAATTGAGCAACAAAATGTTACCAAAGTCAGCATATGGTATATTTTTTTCTGTCAAATTTGTATTGAAACATTTTTTATTTTATTTTATTTTTATTTATATTTTTAGATTAAATTTCAAAAATCGCATCAGATGGAGATTTATTACCACTTGTCAATTCGGGAAAATTTATTAAGTTTCATATAGAAAATCCCGAAGAAGAAGAACAATCTTATTTATGGCTTAGGAATTTTGTGTTAACGCCCAAAAGTATGCAGCCATTATTTTAATATATTTGCTTTCTATAGACTACAAATAGGATAGATTTTTTGAAATATTTTTCCATGGCCTACAGTTGGATTTGATTCTTTTAATATATATGTCCAGTGCCTATAGTAGGCATAGATTTCTTTAAAATATGTTCCAATGGCCTACAATAGGCGTAGATTTTTTTAGAATATTTTTGAAGGTTCTACAGTAGGCGTAGATTTTTTAAAAATATTTTTCCAAGGCCTACATATTGCGTAGGTTTTTTTTAAATAATTTATATAAATTAAAAAAAAAAAACATCTTAATAAGCCTTTATATATTCTATATAATATATGCTGCATACTTTTAGGCATACCATAGAAAAATTATTACATCAAAGAATTTACATAATTTGAAGATTTTTTTTTTTCAAACCAAAAAACTGAACAAACGAAGTGAGCCAGGAATTATAAACAACCCAGTTAACTTGTAATGCCAGCAAAAAA